TTGTTGCACTTGCCCACTGGCCTCTGGAATCTCTTCGCTACCACTGCTACTATCCAGATCATCATCATCATCATCATCGTAAGGAATGTCAACTTCATTATCATCGTCATCGTCATCGTCCTCACTAGACACCTGTTCAGCTTCTAAAATAGTATAGTTTTTTGTTTGAAAAAGATTTCACCAATGGAAAGCAAATCCTGCATTTGAAAAACAATAACAATAAAGCTTTGTTCGCCCACGCCCCGTGGAATGACGAACCTTACAAAACATCAACCATGCTCATGAATAACGAAAGACACTCATGTTCTCTAAAAAATATTGGTTAAAGACGCCAGCAAGTACGCTTATTAAAAAAAAACCTGGTTAACCACGTTTTTTATAAGCGTAATTGCAAGCGTTTCTAACTAATGTTTCCGAGAGAACGCGTGTGTCTTTCGTTATTTAATATAAGCGCAACTTATGGTCAAAGTATTTCCTCATCAAATACCTTTTGCTCTTAAATAAAGGAATCCTTTCACAGTTCCCATCAAAGTTCCGCTCTGTTTGGCTTCCTGAGTGAGTATTAAAACGGGAAAAAGTTCAGAGAATCGCCATTAGTCCAAATCTAAGTAACGTAAAAGGGCTACTAAAAAAGCAAAGTATGTTAAGCCACCAAGGATAATGTAGCATGCCTGGGCAATATAAGGACAACGCCTTTGGCAAGTCAGGGATGCATCTGTTCCACAAGGAGACTGGCTGGGTACATTTCGCGAGGTTGCTCGGTTCAACCAATAATAGAGCGAAATACAAACGAAAGTTAATGATCGTACTATCATACTTACCAAACCAAACTCACAAGAACTTCGTAATAGATCTCGCTCACCGTACAGTCTCTATGGCTTAATGGTAGAGCATCGGAGCGCGGAATCTGAAGGTTTGAGGTTCGATTCCTCATGTCCCTCCTTTGTCCCACGCTCGTGACAAGATGAAAAACATATATCTCTAAACTAAAACCCGTTCAATTTAATGTCATCCATTGATCGGTTAAAGAACTTTGTCATACCTTTAACAAACTCTCATACTTTTGTTTCTTCTTCTCTTTCATCTGTGATGTAGCCATGTCTACCAGAGTGGTAAGAATGTCGATTCTGTCGCGCTCTGACATCCCTTCCTTGTCCCTTTTCCACTTCTTTTCATAAAATCGAAAGGCTTCGTTATTGTACTTTTCGGCCTTACTTTTCTCGCGAAGCTGTTTACAGAGACCGCAAAGAGTTTGCAGAATTTCCTCTCTGGCGGTGTCTGGCAACTTTCTCGTGTCGGGTGAATTCCACGCGCCTTCATAAAACCATAGAGCTTCT